CAATGTTCATGAAAAGTTTTTGTTCAGATTGGTCCACGTGTTAAGGGATAGATAGGGTACACACAGACACATGTTCCTACACACATACACTACGATCATTATGGTAAAATTACTTTCTTTGTGAACCTCTTCTTTCTTTTTTTTCCAGACATACATAGGCAGCATTCTGGTTTCTGTGAACCCCTATAAGATGCAAAACACCTATGGGACAGACATGGTGCTCATGTACAAGGGCTGTGCCTTGGGAGAAAACCCTCCGTAAGTTATTTTCACTCTAAAATTGTTGAACCGTGAACCTTATATTTAAAAAACAAAACAATAAATGTCAAATTATTAAGTATGTTTCATCCATGCTGACAGCTGCAGCAACAGAGGATCAAAGTGCAGAAAGAGGGAAGCAGAATACTTTGTTGCGCTTCCTTTAAGAGTCTGAAGGCTTTTTGTGTATCTCTTTCTCCTTCAGGCATTTGTTTGCCATAGCAAACGCTGCTCATTCCCAAATGATGGATGCCAAAAAAAAACAGGTCATAATAATCAGGTAAGAGGCTGACTCTCATTTTCTCTTCAGTCACTTTCTCTGTAAATATAAATCAGACAACAGAGACGTGCATGCAGTTAATTATACGGTGCATTGTATTTTTAACATCTGAGTCTTGCAATGTGAAGCTTTTCTTTTGTATCCTTTGATATATCATTGGTAACCTTTCAAGGTTGTCCATGAAGCTTCTTGGTTAAAGGTTTCCATCTGCAGATGGATTAGTGTTTGTAAATTCATGAGTGTCTGTCTGTGGTTTACTGGCCAGCAAACTTAAGATGGAGTGTTTTGGTCCATGTCAGAACTGATCTCTTGGAAGAGAAAACACACACACAATCACACACACACACACACACACACACACACACACACACACACATAAACCAGTGAAGTCAAACACTTGAGTGTGACTTCATTTAGTGGCTGCGCTCATCTGTGAAAACAAACACACCGACATCCAGAGGTTTGCACAAACATAGGTCTATGCTTTTAGATATGACAAAAGACACTCATAATATACACATAAACACACACTCACACATGCACACGCTCTCACAAACCTGGAACACTTTAGCCGTATTCGGAAGGAGACACCTGTAAGGAAAGCCCAGCCAGGTCTGGGTTGGAGCAGGTTATGTTTCAGAGGTGTGTGTGTGTTCGTGTGTGAGTACATTTGTGCGGGCTGTGTGCTTGCAAGTGTGTCTTTGTGTTTCAGTTAGTATGTGTTAAGGGGTAACTGAGGTCTGGTGTACAGTGACCAATAATGGTCCCGTTTTTAGCTAAGCAGCCATTGAGCTGAAACCCTAAACTGGAATACGGTGAAGGTGCCAGCGTCCCTAAATGCACCCCCCCACCCACGCTTTGGCCAAGCTTACATAATGGTGGTATTTAGTGCTTGGCAGTGGTAGATCAATGGACCTGAGTGTGCATGTGTGTGAAACTCGTTCAGGTGGTTTAATGCAAAAGTGGAACCGAAGCCTTGCCTAATGCAAGTTTAGCCTTGTCTCACATCACTTAGTCAATTAAGTCAAACACTCTGCAAGCACCACCACAGAGGTGAAAAGGATCAAATGATGGACGCTCTAAATGATTTCTGGAAGTCCTGAGAAACTGTGCTCTAATTCAGGGTAATGTTCACACTTGGTGAGTTTTTCCTTGCATCAAACCTGTTTTTGTATTTCCACTAGTAGAATACAGATGATCAAAATTGTCATGGTCCTGGGTCGGTGACCCAGCGCTTTCAGTTGATGATTATCACTTTCTAGTTTATTTCTGATCTTGTATTGGTTGTTGGTGTTTG